ACCGCAGGGGCTCCGAGGATACTGGGCTTCCCAGGCACTCTGACCCACACTGTCCTCCTGTGTGGGACGTGTCCTGCTGTGTGACAGCCGCTGGACCAGGGCTGGGCCACTCCAGCCATGCAGGGGAGGCGCACATCAGCCTAATGGGGCGGCTGTGACTCAGAAGCGCATGCCGTGTGCTCCAAATCCTTCGAAATTGCCCAGCATCATCAGACCACTGCTGCTGGCAATGACACAGCCCCCCTGCTGCGTGGCGGCACTTGATGTCCTGATTTGAGCACAGGTGTCCCTCTGGCCTCAGAGCTGGTTCTGTGAACACTCAAAGCAGCTTTCAGCCTGAGATTTACCATCCAATCTTGACAATCAGAAGGCCTGCGCTGGTGGCATTGGGGACAACAGAGTGGTGGTGACAAGAGCAAGGCCAAAGGCTCAATGAGGAGGGCCGGGAAAGGACCTGGGCCAGGCATAACACAGCTGTCCCCCCATAAGCTCCTGCATGCCCAGGCCCTCCTGGCCATGGCGCCAAGCCCAAGCCCAGCGCCAGCCCCACTGTGTCAAGCTCCACAGAGCAAGGGAGAAGCTGGTTGCAGGCAGTGCCTGGCTCTCACCACCACAGGACTCAGAGGGCTGCTGCCAGGGCCCCTGGGTTGATGTACAGGGCCCGAGACCCTCTCTAGGCTCTGCCACACACAAACCTGCCGGGTGAAGGCACCCAGGTCCTCAGGGACTGTTGAGGACAGGTGGACACCCACTGGGCACATGCACTTCTGAAGGGCCAGAGTGTGAGGACTAGATATAGCAGACAGCTCAAAAGCCACGATCACTGCCCCTGGCAGGGTAAGAGGACCTGGACAGGTGACCCAGAAGGGTGTCCCTTCTTCCTGTGGTGCCTTAGCACCTCAGAGCGACTCCTGTGCCAACTACACAAGCTGACACCACACCCAGAATGACCCCGCTGGACCGGGCCCCTCAGTGGTGCCCATCACCCTCCCAATACCGCCCGTGTGTGCTCCTGCCTATGCGGGCTCACCCTGCTCTCTCAGCTTTACCGTCTCATCACTCACTCTCCTGCCTTTCCATCCCCATGCTCACCTCCATGGCTGAAGAAAGGGACTTAGATCACAATCCACTGCGGTATGGAGGCCCAACTCGCCCGGTCTCCATCAGCCCAGGGGGCTCTTCCCTCTGCCCTCCCTGCCCCACCAGGGCTGGCCCTGGGGTGGTGAGAGGAGGGTGCACATCCACCTCCTGCTGGCATCACACCCCAGTGACAGGTGAGGTGCAGGAAGGCTGAACTGTCAGACTGAGCACCCTCTCTATCCCAAACAGCACCAGATTCGAAGCTGCACCCTGCCTGCCTCTGCCCTCTTGGGAGCCTGCACCACCAGGCAGTGGCTGGGAGGGGCTGCCCAAGTCCTGCAGGGACCGAGATGGAGCCACCACCCCATGGGTCAGTGTTCAGAGGCATGAAGTCCCACATGGCCATCAGAGACCCAGCCAAGCCCCCAACCTGGGCTTCCTAATGGCACTCAGGCCCTTGCCATGATCACTGGCCAAGGCTGGGACCCAGAAGCCAGGTGACAGGTGATGGCGGGAGCTGCCGACATGGGGCGCATCCCCCACACCACACACTGGGGTGGACACCTCTCCCAGCTCTGTTTGCATCACCAGCACAGCTCCTGGCCAACGAGCCCCAGGAGAAGGCAGGGTGGTGACCCCAAATGGTAGGGCCACCATGGGGAGGTACGAGAGCTACTCCACAATCCAGAAACAAGTGCAGACACCTGGCTGTCACATCACTGTGGTACGCAGGCCTCACTAGCAAAGGAGCAGTAGCCCACAAAGGCTTCCAAGCTCCTGCAAACCTGAGCACCTCAACGCTTAGCAGAGCTGCCAAGGTACTCACAACAGCACAATCAAACCAATGTGATGGAAAAGGAGGTTCTAATTAGGGACATGACATGCACATAGTAACAGGCACAGCTGTGCAGTCCCATCTACCAGGCACCCCCAGCTGGCACCCAGGATCAGGAATGGATAAAAGGGGTAGGTAGGCAGTGGGGCACCACTGTGAAGGCCACGTGGCCTTCAGAACCCAGTCGAGGGCCAGGGCCATGCAGTTAAACAGAGGACGGCCCACAGGACGAGGACACCCTCAACTCAGAACAATTCTGGGTCACTGAGCTCCCGGAAGGGTCCTGCTGTCCTGCAGCCCCTGGCCTGATAGAACACTGGACCGTAAGCAGCCCCAGGATGGGCCTGCAGGTGCAGAGCACTAGGAGCCTGGCCACAGCAGAGGCCAAAAGGCAGCATCGTGGGAAGCAGGCCCCTCTTGCAGGACTGGAAACAGCCAGGCTCAGGGCCCGCTACGGCCTCCTTGAAGGAGCTGCCATGTGTTTGGGGTCCTCAGTGCTTGTTCTGTATGGTCAAGGGAGGACACAGGTGAGGTGAGAGCTGGGTGCCCGTAACATAGCAAGGCACAGGCAGGTGAGCGCCACAGGAGGGCAGAGATACTCCTAAGCACACATGGGGTCCTGCCCAGAGGACATGCACTGTCTACCGGGACACTGTCCCCAAGCACAGGCCCTTGGCCTCAGGCCCCTGAGGGGACACAGAGGAGGCAAGGTCCTGGAGGGGCTCCCAACACATGCTGGGGGTGGTATATCTTTCTTGTTTTGCTTTTTGTATTCTTTTTTAAGGAGAAGATGAAAGTTTTCTCCTCAAGACCTGAGCAAGACCAGGGAACAGCAGAGGCACCTCCTCCCAAGTTCCACGCTGCCATTCCGAGCCCCTCAACCTCAGCTAGCAGATGCAAGGAGGGACCAGCAAACTGCCAGAGCACAGCACTCCAGAAGGGCAGCAGCGCCACCTAGTGGCCCTCTGGAGCAGGACAGTCCTACACTCA